AGCATGTTTGGTGGGAAGGGGATTCGAACCCGCGACCCTCAGATTGCGAGTCGAGCGCCTTATCCACCTGGCCATGCCGGGCATACTATAAGACCAAGTAATATATTAAGCAGAGATATGGAATTTTCATGAGCCATTTTATTGATCTCTAAAGAACTGAAGCAAAGAGGAGGTACAGTACCAGTGGTATCAAAACCAATGATGCACGGTTCTCACACGTCTCTGGGATATGAATTATATACGGCTATAACTTCTTCTAAGAAAAGGATCCATGTATTCAAATTCATTGCTAATCCAACATGATTCCGAAGAAAGCTTATTTTAATAAATTACATTCTGACATGCGCATCAGATTAGTAAGCTTTAGTATAGCTTAAGTAAGAAAACTGAATATACGAATTTTACTTTTTACAACCAACGAGATCTGGGTTTTAAAATTTAAAATTCGTTGCTAAGATATATTTTAAAGCAATAAAATATAACACACAACAAATATTCGTTATTGTTGCGTTTTAGATGTTTTTCGTTAAAAATTATTAATATTAACATAGCACAACAAAATTATACTTACAGGTTTTTTGTGAATAGATGTGGTGGGACTGGTGTGATGACAGCGCCACCTGGGGATAGGACTCAAAATAAAACTGGCCTTTAAATGTAGGTGAATCTGGGGTTCTTGATGCTGCTATATGAATATAGGAAAAAAAAAAACGTTCTAGCCGTTATCAATATTTCACAAAAAATTAAAATCCACCATAAAAACCACAATTGTCTCGTACAAAAGTTTAACTGTATTATTGTTGCATGTTGAAAACAGATGCTTTTTGTATGGAAAAGTAGAGAACAAAAATTGTGTGCGAGTAAACTGGAATTCACTGACCGAGCACGCAAACATAAATGACTCCTGTATATATGTGATCGAACTAGCCTTGCCTCGATAATGTAAACTTCTACACAAGGCTCTTGAACTCTCTTTTACAGTTTTACCCTTTATGCTCAGAGCTGCGGAAAGTAACAAGAGTTCCACTTTTTAGTAAAGCTTTATCTATTTTCTTCACGGACGTGAAATTTATTACTTCTGTAGCTGACGTTACGGTCTACATTCGAGGGTGACCTTAATTTACGCGTCATAAATATACGACAGCCTGCAAAATAAAAACTAATAGTTTTTACGCGTTAATAATAATAAATTGTGTAATAATTTTATTAATTTTTATTCCAAAAAGTATTTTCAACACAAACTTTTTTTTTGTGTATTCCATAAAACAGCCCGTAAGTAATACCAGTAATACAAAAGTACAGGATATCAGCGGTGTACTCAATAAATAAATTGTAAATAACATATCCTCCCTGTAGACGTTTATACAAAAGATAAAAAGTCTCAAGATACGAAACTTAAGTATAGCCACGTCTTCCCCTACTAATGTACTGGTATAAGGTTACAGCTTACAATGATTTCAGACGTACCACCTTTCGTGTGTGTATATGTCTGGTGTGGAAACGACAACGGGAAGAAGGAAGAAAAGCCCCGATGACATACTGGTAAATTTTCGTAAAATCTAGGTCAACGCGTCTGCAGGATATTCAATTTCCTCACTCCAGGCTAAGGAAGGGTTACCGTGGCCTTGCAAGAAAACGCTTATTCAGTTAATCCTTATAATTTTTCCCTTGGGGATAAAGATATAGTGGGGAAATAATTACAACTGTTTAAAGAGACAAGTAAAAGTTTATTCAGTTTATAGTTTATTCGTACACGTGGGTATGCCCCAATACCATGAAATAAAAGCATTGTACACTTATTACAATTGTTGATCGGGGGGGGGGGGGCAACATGTAAGCAAAGAACCTATTCATGGCATTGATCGGAGGGGGGGGGGGCAGCATGTATGCAAAGAACCTATTCATGGCATAAAGCAGTTCAGATCTTAGGTTTCGGTTCGCAGTCCAGCACGTCAACCAATAAACCAGTGGCTCTCAATCCTTTTCCGTATGGACCTCTTCACGAACCAAAAACAATATCAAGGACCACCATACTCAGACAGGTCATTCAGGGGAAGATGATCCTACAGTGTATAAAATTAGTAAGAACTTTTCAAGTAAAAACATGATTTCCGTTTAATCCCATATAGCAGCGTTTTTTTATTTAACTATAATATGAATAACTTGATTTTTACCATCACGTATACCCCTAGAAATCCACTGGTTGAGAACCACAACAATAGCAGCGTTTTTTGTTATTTAACTATAATATAATAACTTGATTTTTACCATCACGTATACCCCTAAAAATCCACAGAACGCAGGTTGAGAACCACAACAATAGACCACTACAATTCCTGGATACTAGAAATAACTACTGGATGTAAGGTATCACTTATACAAAATAATATCATCCAGACTTTGAGATTAATACCCGGATGTACAACGTGAGAACGCTTCTAAGGGATGAGGTAAATTTTAAATTTGAACAATTGAAACAAAAACACAAAAATACACTATGAAATCTTGAATTTATGTCAGATGTATTTCCACCAAGAAATGTAAAAGACATATTTAAGGTGAAATCCAAATAAATTAAATAATGAAAAACTTCCGTTGTTTAATGTAATTCTTATATGAGGTTAGGCCTTAAGAGACATAGTTTTCAAAATCTGTGTAGGTGAATCTACGTGCTATGTTATGGATTATGGAGTGAAATTTTTTGTTTACAGAAGACAGTATTAGTTTTTAACTGGATCTATATACTCCCTTGCAGGGAGACTTGGGTTATTTTATACGACTAGATTTTATATCTAACATGCAATGTCTATGAAACACATACTTAAAAAGTCTCACTTTTTTTATGACTGAATCAACATTTTTCTCAACCCTTACGTACGGTCTTTCTTCTTTTTTTTTTTAGTGGAGCGGTTTTTCTTCATACAGATGGCCTAGCATGGCCTGGTGGTTAGGGCTCTACTCTGAGAGTCGCAGGATCGAAACCCAGTGCCGATCATGCCCGCCCTTTCAGCCGTGGGGGGAGATTATAATGTAATAGTCAATCCCACTATTCGTTGGTAAAACGTGGCCCAAGAGTTGGTGGTGGATACTGCCTGTCGGTTGCCTACGACCTAATATAGCCCTAATAGTTATTTGATTAAAGTATATCGCCCAAGAGTTGACGGTGGGTACAGTTGATTAGCTGCCTTCCCTCTAGTCTATCAGCTCAAACGTTGGGACGGCATCAGCTTTCCAGAGCATTCATGGTTTGTGTATGTCCCACCCGCACCAATCAATTTTCTTTCTCCCTCCAAAACAATGAAAAAGTAAATTGGCATACACTGTGCTATTTTAATCCGATTTTCTATTGCACTCTTCAGCCAACTGGGGAGCAGCATTATGACATCGAGACATTGCACTCACTTGATGGTCAAACAAAATGGCAGTTTCAGTAATAAAAACATAAGATGAAATCATACAGTTAAAGCAACAATTACACGCTGCCTTACAGTGTGTTTGTAATGATGTAGCCCACTAGCCTATTGTTTTGAAATTAAATTTCCATTGGACATATATTCATATTTTAAAGTTGTGTAACATTATTTACAATTTATTGGTACTTTCTTTGCTGATCGAGTTCGCAAGGACTTTAGCCCAAAATGCCTTCTCCTCCAGTTATTCATAATATTGCCTCTATAGAGTAGAAACAGCCACTGACTTCTCTGAAGTAAAGATTCTATTTATCTCCGATTAGTGACAAGAAAAGAACAGTAAAACCAGAATATAGTCTGTGGTATTGTGCCTGCGACTCCTTTTGAACCTCAAAATTTAAAAATTATTCAGTTCATTTTCTAAGTTGAAAACAAAATTACAACATAAACACACCGGGATTAAAAACAGCAGTAAATACTAAGACTGTTGCAAAAACGTTACTGCATTCAGTAGTGTTTATGGGGATAAACAAAGTAAAAGTATTAAGATCCTTCACTTTGCAGAAACACATCGATAAAGTTTGTTCATAGAAATTTAATGTAAAACACATTGAGAAAAACCTACACTTAAAAAATTGGCTTTGATATTTTTGTAAAAGTATTATATGATTCATTTTTGAAACACTGGACAATTTGAAAGTGTTTATATCATCTTAAGTAATTATACATTAGTTGTATTATAAAGTGTTTAATAACAGCAAAATGTGTCATATGACGCAAATCCAAAGAAGTGGGATTCTACTACATTGTGAAAAGTTGCAGTACTTTGTATACACAATATTGCAATACGAAGTAGTGAATGCAGATAATTCAGTCGGTTTCAATTTGCTAAATTATCGTTCCTCTTCGTTTACGAAGATCGACTGAACGACATTATATTAACTGCCTTTTTTTTTGTAATGTTCTATACTGATTGATTCAACCTCCTCGCCTTCTAGGTAGGAGTGGGGACTGCAGTGCAGGTTTTCATTGTGTTGCTTCGCGCGAATATCCGAAACAATCTATCTATCTGTTAGGGAAAACTGTTTTACTTTCAAAATAATTTATTTCCAATGAAACAAAAATAAAAACAATGTTTTTGTCTCTATTAAGGACAATTCTGGTTTATTTTCAAAGTAACTTGTTTCTAATCACGTGTCACACTCTATAATAGAAGTGAGTTACAGCTTGGATTAGAGGTGATCGTGGTTCTACGGGATTTTTTTTAGTAGAATTTTGGAGAAATCAATACGACTAAGAAAGAGTCATATACATTGTTTCCATTAAAGAAAAAAAAACAATTTACTATTGTAGATACAACAACGAGTAATAAATGCTACAAATGTGACACGTTATAACTAACAGAACAGAAGGTGAAACATTAGTATTCTTTCCAGGATGGCTATCTATTTGGTGCTGGACACAAGGACAAAGACAAGAGAGGTCACCTCTTGGACTTGCTTTGATCAACGCTCAGTAGCAACTTTTTAATTCGACAATTTCAACTTGAATATAAATCTCTCACTCAGCTCCGAATTTACTCTAATCTAATAAACAAAAAAGACGAACATAGTACATAACAGTGCCATGTGTTTTAATTGAGAAAGTGGCCATATTCCCAAAAGGTTAAAATATTCCACGTTGTTGCAGAGGTTGAAACTGCCCTCCAGTATGGCCAGCAGATGATAACGCACGCTGCCTTTCTTGACGGTATAATCAAAAAGCAAGAAGGTCAGAGTGACAAACAACTTTATCTTATATTCAGCTAGTAAGGAGCAGATTAGTAACGGTCACTTAAACTGTAATAGGTTGAAAGTCCAGTTAATGCAAGGTTGAAGCTGCAACACGTGGTGTTGCAATCACTTAAAATCTAAGAAAGTAAAGGTCACAATATCCTTTTGACTTTCAGATTTCACAGTTGCTCCAACTACCGAACTCCTAATTGATTTTTCAAGCTGTAATGCTGTGTTGCTTCTTCTTCGGACTCGTAATATATATATATATATAAACCACTTTCTCTTTCTTAAACGAGACAGTGTAACAACCTGATGATGTACAACATCACCTTAAAACTGGTAGTTGCTCGTACGAAGTACTGAAAAGGTACTGCCCTCACCTGCAAATCAAATTTCCAGATCGGGCTGACACGTCCACGTAGTTTCCTGATGGATCATTGCTAGAAAATGTCAATTCCCAAATATGAATCTACCTTCCAGCTCACCCCTATATGTAAAAGATGTTTGTTGCAATGGTGCAGTTCTATGAGGTATATATCTGTGTATATTCCTAGAAAAGGTTGGCAACTTCATAAGCAGCCACAGCTCCCCCTTATGACCCTGCGGGCACAATAGTATCCACAGCTAACTTTTAATACACTTGCTGTTTCAAATATAGTGTAACTTACAGAAAAAAAGGAAGAACACATTTTCATGTTTTTAAGGCAACTCACACTATGCATCAGAACAACAGGTACTAACTAAGCGTGTACAGTCTGTGACTTGAACAGAATTAACGATGACAGTAAAATCACCAGCTTACAATAATTTCAGCCAATGGTGCAATCAGGTACACCATCTATCCACGTAAAGACCTGTAAGGTATAAACAGCAAGTTCAACTGATTCATCTCAGTACTGTGGCCAGTATTTCTTTACCTCCTTATGATCGTAATTTTTTATATGCTCTTACATGTACACTATACACACACACTTACGAATGAATTCATGTATGAATAAACACAGATGTACAGTATATTTTATAAACACCTATCTTATACTTCAGAATAATTACCGATAAACACAGTAGAAGAAAGTAAATCGTATTTACTGTTATGGTCAAATGCATATAGCATATAGCCATGAGTTTTCACTGCTCTGTGTGTGATAGAGAATTTTCTTGCACAAATAATCTTATGAAACATTACATTGCAAAACATGATCCTAACAATCCAAACATTCCTTCTACATCTTCCGAAATGCAGAAACAAGATGATAAGAGTGAAGAAGCTTTGTCTGCAGAATCTTTCCCATGTGAAAAATGTGGAAGACTGTTTACATCTGTTAGAATGTTGGAGGGGCATAAAAAGATACACCGAAATGAAACAGAAAATCGGCGTTTTAGATGCCCTCATTGTAAATATTCTACGAATAAATCATCATGTCTGAGAAACCACGTAGCAATTCACACAAATGAACGACCACACCAGTGCAGCTATTGTGGAAAAGGATTCACAGAACAGAGCAGCTTACGTAAGCATGTGCTTACTCACACAGGAGAAAAACCTTACACCTGTGATGTGTGTGGAAAGAAATTTGCACAGCGTGCACATCTAAACATACACATGAGAATCCACAACAAAGAGAAACCATACCGCTGCCCTTACTGTGAAAAAACATTTTCTTATCATAATGTTCTGACTCGTCACTTGAGGACCCATACAGAAGAAAGGCCATATAAATGTACCCATTGTAGTAAAAGTTTTAAGAGCAGCAGTTCTCTTCAAGGCCATGTAATTGCCAAACACACCCATAAATTTCCTTTGAGATGCACAGAATGTGGAAAAGGATTCATAGAGTTTGGAAACATGCAGATTCATCTGAGGAACACTCATAATATAGCAGTCTACAAGCTTAAGGAGGATCATAACTAATTCTCAATTTTTTGGTCATTCTAGACAGGGAATGTTGTATATATAAATGTGTGTGTTTAATATATAGGGAAACATTCCACTGTGCTTTAATACACAGTAACTACACACATAACAAATTGTATTGGAAAAGTAATATTTGTTATTGAAAGCTTGATATTACAAAATGACCATGTTTGATGGAGAACACGAGGTAATGATTTTTTATTATTATTATTTCTCTATGTCCTTGTGGTGTTCATGATAATAGTGAAGAAACTAATAAAACTATGTATGCTTCAACAAATATTTTGGGAAATTGAAACTTATATAAGCTCTTATAACTTATAATTTTCTTTTTATACTGAATTTGACAGAAGTGTGCATACAAGTGAACTAGTATAGCATCTGTCTGAATAGGGTTGTACATTTTATACAAAGTCCATAATTCATTTATACATACAGTAAAAACAATGCACTTACTACTGATTAGTCATTTAATAGATACAAGATTTGTATGGTTACAAGCTTTAGAAAGCAAAAATCAGTAAGGCTTCCTTTGATACTAACTTTAAAATCTTTCTGCACGGTGTATCTTTACAAATGTATTACTGTGTTTTTGTAATCCTCTTTAGGTATAATTGGTATTATCCTATAACATATTTAAGATAGCCTTCACTACAGTAAAAACTTGTCTATTTTATTTCATACAAGAACACTAAAGTATTACTTTTTGGGTTTCTTTAAAATTAACCCTATTTCCATTTGGGATTCAAACAGAGGTACTTTTACTATAATCATCAACAATTCAAACATTCTTTGACAAGCGAACAATCCAGAAGTACTAATACAAAATAACTTTATTAGTGTGGAATGAGGTAGTAAGGGCCTATTCTGTTGGTATCAGTGAGGTCATGACCTTTTATTAATATGCATCATACACTAAAAATGTTGATTATCAATATTTTATAAACCAAAAATTATTAAGATTGCTCTAAATCTATAGTTATAATCATAAAAACAGGTAAATTAAGTATGCCGATGGTATTATGAAATTGTAGCCAAAAGTTAATATCTGTGTTTAGAGTGCTGCCTAGAGGTGCTAATATAGCAGCTTCATCATGATTGTTGATTTTTGTCTGCCTCAGAGTGTTTATGTATTAATGTGCAACCTCTGACTCATGTTTCTTATAATGTGAAGGATGACATTCATCAGGAAATTATTCAGCATACAATCTGGCAATACTCTTCATACAGTAGAATCTTGTTCAGCTGCATATTCTGCCACATTTAAGTAATTTGGGAGCAGCTGCAGCAAAATATTTGGATGATGCCTTAAGCAGGAGGCTTTTTTTATTTAATACTTTATCCTTTTAGGACCTTCAGAGATGTAATGACCTGCATATGCAGAATTCTGAGCCTGAACCTCAAACTTAAATGAATTTATGTTTCTAACTGTTGTTTTTGAGGAATGACTTTTGTAATTTTAAAACCATCTTTACTGGCCCAGTATGAGTTTTCAATAAGTTGGGTGTATAATAGCCTTTTAACTATATTTGTTGTAATCACATAACAGTGGTAATTTCCATCTAATACAAAAAACTTGTCAAGTTGTTTGGGTATAATTCAATGTACAAAGTCTACTTGAAACCATATTAATATATCTTATTAGTTTTCAAGTCTCAATTTCAAAATTAACATCAGACTAACAGTTTTCCTGTGAATTATTTTATTCACTATTAAAAATAATATTTAAATATAAAAAGACAAAATATACTACATTATCAGTTTATTAAAATAAAAAATATTAAGTACTCACCAGATGAAATAAACATGAAATGGGCCAGATATAAACATACAAGTTAATGTAATAAAAACTACTGAGCCAGAATATACAGAATTAAGATTTTAGTCTCAAACTTATGAGTAAATATTTCATACAAAAATATTCTTTACATGAACAGTGTTATTACTAACTTTGATCAAAGCGATCTACTGACATGGATCAGAATGGAACTAGAAATTAATCCACTAAATAATATCAAACATCAGGTCTCATGCATGGATTATGAGGCATGTATTTTTTTTGTCTTGCACTGTTACAGTTATATCATAAAATCTCACACAGTATCATGTCCATTTATATCTGATGATATGAGCATATTTCTGCTAGAAATTTATTCTCCATGCTTAGAGCATTATTAGTTTTTCATGACTTGAGAAATTCTATAGTCTGGAGCAGGTGACACAAACAAAGAAGATTTAATTTGCTTTGTAATATCTTGGTAAATCCAATAGCATAACCATTTTAGGTTTATTGCCCACCTAATACAATAACTTTGAGTGTGTTATTGTTCATTATATTTTTCAGAGTTTTTGTTTGTAATTTACAGACATTTTCATTCCTGTTTTGCATGCACTTTACATCTAACAATGATGTTACTTATTATTAGTCCTTATTATCTCGCATCTTATACATGTCACAACTTGTGATTTTTTATGTATTTAAATTAATAAAATAGATATTTTTGCAATATCATAAAAAACATAATGAACCAAATACATATATTAATCAGTTGAATACCCAGGCTGTTATACTTTTGGCTATAATCCTAATACTATCTCATAATGTTCTACCAACTTTTTAGGGGCGTTAGGTTGGTTCTGAGTTATATGTTAATCTAGTAGTATAAAATAATCCTTGTAATTCTCTCACTGCTATGAATGGAAATGTTTTGGTCATCTTTGAATAATATCTTACAGACCTGCAGTCAGTTGTTTTAATATCCAGAGCAAACACGAAAAAAAGATATGGATTAAACATTTTAACCAATATTGCTAATGAAAATAAGTCAGCAAAAAATGAAATACAACCTTATTTGCAAGATGTAAAAAATTGAATGTTTGCCCTATCACTTAATTCCATGTTCCTTGAAAAGTGTAACACCAACTTATGTATAGCTAAGTAAATTTCTTTACGAACATATAGTACACCAATAAAATCAATCCATTCAATTTTTCTTAGAGTGTAACTTAAAGCTTAGCTTATATTTGTGATAAATAGCTACTAAATGTAATACTGTTTTGTTTACAATTGGGGAACATGATGATGCAGACAGTACATCAAAAAGGAGTGAATAAAAAATTGTACAAAAAGAGTAAATAATTTGATGCTATAATTGATCAAAGTAATTGTGACACAGTTACTGAACATGCTGTTAACTGTGTCTGTACACAACATGAAAACTGCCAGGTATACGAGCAGAAAAGATATGCTGGGGATCAACTGACCAACATAGATTTTTTACTAAGTATGACATCAGCACTAAAGGTGCATAGAAATATTAAACCATCGAATAAAGGGAAAAATATTTTCAGTTGTTTATTAAAGTTACCCCGAGACCCTACTATCGAATTAGGTCTTTGAGACAACAGTTAATTTGTCATTCAACACAGTCACAGGAAACTAGACTTGCTAGAACTGTAACATAAAGATTTTGTAAACAACTTAAAAGGTAACTTTCATGCATATGTGATATCCTCAGATTCATTAGTTTCCCTGTCAGTAATTGGGTGGCACCACAGAATAACTTGAAGTTTCCCAGGAAATGTTGTATGGTGAAAATCTGAATTTGCTTAACCACAACAGAGTTTGAAGCAAAAAGACTAGACAAAATATTTCGAAAAATGAAACCGTTTTTTCTTTAAACACAATTCAAGCTTATAAAGGCAAATGTATTTGATACATTTACTAAAATGTGACCAATCAGTGTTTGGGACATTCAGTTCAAGCTGTAACTTTAATTTTCAAGTGAAATCTTGTTCTAGACTAAGAAAACATGGCATTATATAGAAAAGACATTGCCATTCCTCTCAGGATGCTGGCAACAACCATTTGACTGATGGTCACTCACTATGAAACAAGGAATGTTGGATCGATGCTGATTTCTATACACTGCTCCATGTTACAGCAATATTTCCCTTGAGAAAATACACATAACACTAATTGAATGATCTAATTCCATGAATAATTAGGTTGAGGGGAACTCAGTAGTTCCCTTGACCGACTTCTATGTTTAAAATATGCTTGATATGAACAGAAACTTCGAAAATCGTATACATTAACTAAGAGATAGGAAACATATAGTATACCGAACTTAAAATCCAACTGATGTTACGGTGTAATTTAAGTTGGTCTATATATATATTAAATGGCTACTACATATACTATTTTAATTAGAATTGGAAACATGATGATGTAGAAAGTACATCAATAAGAAATGAATAAAAGATTTTGTAATAGTTAGTAAATATTTTGATACTGTAATTAATTGACTATTCTAGAGACAAGGCAGCTAGATGTAACCTACTCTCACCCCTACAAAATATTTGCACAACTTTTAAATAGAATGAGTATGTGGCATAAAATTCAATTAAAACTTGCACTCCAAACTAGGAGCTATATAGTGGCACAACCATTTAGAAATCACGTTAAAATAACAATTTAATGTAAAACGTAGAAAATAAAATACAAACCCTTTACAAAAATGCAAAACAGAATCTATATACTACTAAAACTCATTGTTTGTTTGCTTGTCTGTAATTAAATACATCAAAAACGGCGCACAATAGCGCCATATTTGTGATGAAATGATAATGGAAACAGAATAAAACAAGTTTCGTTAAAGTCGGGCCTCGGGTTACCAGTTTGGACCCGTTTTTCGGGTCACTTTTATGAAAATTATTAGATAAATTTAGGTATACTAGGTGGCGCCACATATTGGTTTATCTATCTATTCGTTTTCCACATGATGAATCACTTTAAAATATCTCCTTTTCAACAATATATGCACAACAGAAATTAAATGATCATAAGAAAGTGTGTTATAATATCGCGTAGAAAGAACAACAATAATATGGACCTACAATATTATTGTCTATTTGCAATTAATAACTATGGAGACGAGGTAATAAAATAAAAAGCAAGTCTATAACAACAAAATTTTATAAACGAAAACCTCTGGTCGAGCATTGGCTATTATATTATTTCCCTGTCATTATTCCCATCTTCATTAAAAGGTGAAAGATGACAAAAACAAGTTCTTGAAAAATTTCTCAACAATGTGCCTTGGTTATAGTAGGTGATTCGGAGAAAAAAT